AACATATATGATATAAAATGTCAAAAATCATAAAAAAAATTTTTTATACCAATCTGCATACTACAAAAAAATCGTAGTCACATATTTTCGTAGGACCAAAAATGTTCATAGGCTCTAGGCACAGTGCCTATAGTGCCTATGCACTAATACGGCCCTAAATATAACCAGTACTCGACTCGTGGAGGAACGCAGTGGGACGGAGTACCCCAACTAATTTTAAAAAATTTTAGCGTCCCCCTCCTACTATTATTATACTATAATTATAACGCTTAACAAATTTTGGGGACGCTCTTTTTTTAAAGTAAATATAGTTCCCCTTCATTAATTTTGCAGAGTCGAGCATTGAGTATAACATAAATGAATACATCCAAATTGAAATTAAACTTACAGCCAGGGACTGGAACCGGAACTGAAAGTACCGAAAATACGCAGTGTGCCGACTGCCGAGGCCTTAATAATATTAATAATAACCTCAATAATACAAGATTCATACAAGAGTTAGATAACATCATCTGGTATAATATAGACTATGATTTATCGATTTCCCATTTTATTGGAAAAAATATTTCATTTTTAGCACAACAGTAACCAGGGCTTTGCACCCGAATTAACCCGAACCCGTAACACCCCTAAAAACCCTTAAAAAATTAAACACCCAAAACCCATATAACCCGAATGATTTTTTTTTTTAAACACCCGAATTAACCAAAACCCGAATAAAATATTGGTTTTAACCCGAAATCCGAATAATATTTTATTTTACAATCTTTATGTGACATATCATTTTGTATGTATTTTTTGTGGTTATTTTAATTTTGTCATTAGTTGTTTAATAGTAAAATTATTATTCACAGGAATAATTTCACAAATAATATACATAATTGTTAATTAATCTAAATTTATCAAGATAAAAAAAATAGCAATATATCATATTGACATATATGCATGAATGGTATGGTATGTTGAATATTTGAGTGTAAACAACTGGGATATTATTTTTAAAATTATCCCAAGCGGATAAGTCGTATTATTATAATTCAATAGGTAATAGGTCTTCTAAGAATCACCGAGTCGTTATTTATTGCAATACTGTAAGTCTGAAATAAAATTGATGTCTCGCGTACGATTACCTAAATTATTGCTTACGTTATTCGTATTTGTTTAGTGTATGGCGTGTAGTACACATGTCTATGGCGTGAATTGTCAATTTTTGTTGGTGTAATAATTTCATCGTAACATTCATAAGTACAAATTATTATTATTTTTGTATTACTCTATGTCTTAGCTAACGCACCACAAACCATAAGTGGAAATTTGGTGAAATTTGTGGGGGAGGGCTAATCATTATTTGCTTATTATACCTATAGATACCACTGTGCGCAATTGTTTATTTCAAAAAGGCAATTTACGAAGTTTGACAATTTGACATTTTTAATAAACAATTTAAACAAAAAAAACAATTAGGTGTCTTATCTTAAACATTTTTGGAGTAGGTATTCCAAGCAAAAATTATTAATTAATTAAATTAAACAATCTATACGGTTATTATTACATATTATTAATATTACATTGATTACGATCGTTCCAAGTCATGACAAGAAGTCTGTAAAATCTTACGAATTTGATTTAATTTTTATCACAGAATATTTTTTTTTAATTCAGTTATTAAAAATATATTTTACAATTATATTAATTATTGTATTTAAGTCATAAAACAATTTTTAGGGCTCGGGAGGCTAAGACTTGTACTTTATATTTCTGGGGGGGCTTAGTACCCTCAAGCCCCGCCCCCGATTTTCATCTATGCCACAAACACAAATACAGAATACAAAATAATTTGTTTTTTTGTCGCATGCGATATGTCCGCTTTGACTAGGAGTAGGACATAGTGTTTGTATTTTTAATTTTATAGATATTGTAATTTATAAGCTTCATACAAATATAAAATAACCCCCCTCTTCCTCGAAAATAAATCGTAGTTACACCATTGCTTGAAATTAATATAATGATAGTTTGGTCTAAAAAACTGTTGCACAGTTTTATAAGAAATTGATATTTTATGACATAGGCAGGTAACAAAAAATATAAATATTTCATTAGTGAAGAGGGGCTCAGCCTCCCTATTACCCTCCACCAGTGAAAATATTATTTTTCCTTGACTACTTAATACCCGTTTTAACCAATAATAACGGTTATTAACACCCAAACGTTTGTTTAAATGTTGTATTGCGGTGTTTGAACACCCGAATGTATTTAACAAACCGAAATTCAAAATCCGAAAAAATTATTAAATTAAAGATGCAAAACCTTGACAGCAACTCACACCACGCGATAAGCTACCCCTTCACATCCTACTACTACACACCTCGATCATCTTTATGCAGTATGCACTATGACTATCAGGTCTGTTATGTATATTTGGTGACTGGTATAGTGACTACAAGAAGAACTGAAGAAAGTCTATAATACTTTTAATAATAAAGACATCTATTATTTTTGAAAAATGGGTCGTCTGTCAACTTCAATAGTTCACAAATATTTGAGCTATAGTAAAATAAAAGTCCAATCAACCTGTAAAACATGTTCATGCACTATAAAAGTAAGCGAAAACAAATTTGTTTAAAATGTTGTTTTTTATTATTTAAATAATTAATTTTTGGACACTTTAAGTTTTGTTAATGGGTTACGGTAAAAAAAAAAAAAAAATAAAAGACTTAAATAATTCAATAATGAGTAATGACACATTAATGGTTACAATTAAATTTCTAAAAAACAACCATTGTATGTAAAGTCAATTACAACTTTAAACTGACAAAATTATTATTTTAAATGAATTTTTAATTTTTTCAAGTAGAAATTTTTTTTATGTAACTTAAATATCTAAAAATTGGAATCGAAGTTTTGTATTATTTAAGAACCGGAATCGAATTTCTAAATTTTCTAAGAATCGGAACCAGAACCGGAACCGGTAAAAACATCAAGGTTCCTATCCCTGCTTACAGCTAAATGTAGTAGGTAAATAGATTAAGTATACTCTACTTTAATTATACGTTATATGATGGTAAATAGATTAAGTATGCTCTAATTATACGTTATATGATGGTAAATAAATGGTTGTCAAAATTTAAAGACTGAATTAAAGTACGATTGATCCGCGTTGACAGTAGAAATTAGTCGTCCGAGTGGCTCGTTAGGCACGCACTTTGAGGCGCAATGAGTGATACAAAATGGAGCAGCAGACCTAGAGGGACCTTAAGTTTTTCAAATTATTTTAAGTGGATGATTTTTTTTTTCAACCTGGTTCCGAGGAGAGTTAGTGTTTTATTGAATACCAAATTTCCGAATCTGATCCTGCACACTCGATTTAAAAAAAAAAAACCAATATTAAGGTAACTAATCTTATGACGGTGAACGTGAGTTTTAAAATCACATTGCTTAGCTATAATTTATTCAAATCATTCGGGCGAACTGACGTAATTTTCATTTTAAATTTGTACACGTAAGAAAATCTAGAAATAATCCGACGAAGACGCGGGTCGGACACATTAAAAGGTGTGCATTTGCGGACGAACAATGATAAAATCACGCGATGAGTACGTAAATGGACGTTTATCTGTTTATAATTATTTTTTTTCATTTAAAAAACAATAATTGCATTATGCAAATCTCGGTGCCTATATCGGTGAGCGTACATAATGTTATACTCGTATGTTAGACAATACATGTTCGGTGGTCATCGCCAGGGCTCGATTAACCAAAAGGCTAAGTAGGCCTAGGACACCAGTCGGTCAACGTTAAATTGGGGGCGCCACAACATTTTTTTTTACGAATGTAGAATTTTTGCATAATATATACTTTAAAAAAAAAAAATTATATTTTCGTTATTACACGTTCAATACCGCGGCATATTCGCCGTGCCGTTACCGCGTCTCCGCAACGAATTTCCGCCCGGTCGAATATTGTAATATATTACGTTATTTGTCATATACCTATTTCTTGTAATCGTCGCGGGCTTATCGCACCGACGACCGAGCGATCCCCCATCCACTAATATTATATATATATATATATATAATATTGTTGTGTGTGCGTGAGGCGACCCGACGACGGGTAATATTGTACTATTTATATTTTTTCTTAGTCAATAATATTATATTATAATATAATAAAAAGATTTTATCTTTACCGTCGTCGGCCGTAGTGGCGTAATCACTAATCAGTCTCCGCCGCACTGCGAACCGATACAGTCAATTTATTCCGATCGTTTATTACTAATTTTTGACGCGTGTGCGTACGTACCAATTATTTATCATTTTATTAGTATATTTTTTAATACAATTTACAAACAGTTTATTAATATAAGTGAAAATAAAAAAAACCAAGTGGTTCCGAGTATCGAAATAGGGCTCGAGAGCGTAGTGAGCGGGAAGATGCACTTTTGAAAAAAAATGCCTTCACTTGATTCGTTTTTTAGTAAATCTAAAACAACGTCTAATAATGACTCTTCTGAATCATTATTAGGTGCCTCAGTGAAGAGTGTTCTGGTTGAAAGTAGCAAAAGCAAAAGTGAAATTCAAGTGGCGATGCCGTCTACTAGTGCTAATACACTAAATAAAACTCTATCTGAAACGTTCCCAGAACAGCTGGCAGATGGTTATTCACATTTCAATGAGACTGATGAAAAGTTTAAAAACTTTAAAAATGTTAACGATCCGGCTTTGTGGGAAATTAATGAAGAACTGCGTGAATATTTTGCTATGCACAGCATTATTCAAAATGATGGAGATTTTTCCAAATCTATAAGAAAATACTCAGACCAAAATTGGTTTTTAAATAAAAAGGTATTTTTTAAGAAACTTGTTAATAGGGAGGTTGTTAAAAAATGTCACTTAGTTTATTCAAAATCGACAGGTCGTGTTTATTGAGCACCCTGCAAACTTTATGGGGGAATTATTTCTTTGGGAACTGATGGTTTTAATGATTGGAAAAATTCTCACATAATGCATGACCATGATAATAATGCTGAACACAGAGCATGTCTGCGCAAATATTTAGGACGAAGTAATTTATCCCTAAGAATTGATTCAAAATTAAAAATTCAATATCAAGAAGAGGTGCAGTATGGGAAAAACGTGTTGCTCAGGGTTGTAGAAGTTGTTAAATTTTTATCTTCCAGAGGGCTTCCTTTTCACGGAGAGAATGAAATTTTAGGTTCAACCAACAATGGAAACTTTCTTGGGTGCATAGAATTTTTATGTAAATTTGACCCATTTATAGCTGATCATGTAGCCCGATTCGGAAATAAAGGTAAGGGAGTGCCTTCATACTTATCTTCCACAACGGTAGATGAGTTTGTTTTACTTTTAGCAGACCATGTGAAAACTAAAATTGTGACAGGGATAAAATTGGCAAAGTATTTTTCTATTATTGTCGATTCTACTCCGGATGTATCGAATGTGGACCAATTGACATTTGTTGTTCGTTATGTTGCAACTGATGGATCACCTAATGAACGTTTTCTAACATTTATTCCAAATTGTGGACACACAGGTGAATACATGGAAAAAGCTGTGGTTTCTATGCTTGAAACTCTAGATATAAATATAAATGACTGCAGAGGACAAAGTTACGACAACGCTTACAATATGTCAGGTTGCTACAAAGGACTGCAAAACAGAATTAAAGAGCTTAATCCATTAGCGCACTATGTTCCTTGTGCAGGCCATTCACTACAGTTAGTAGGCTCTGCAACAGCTGGAAGTAGCCGAAATTCTACAAAATTTTTGCTCTAGAACAGCAACTGTATAACTTTTTTCACTCTCCCACCAAAAGATAGGACATTCTATTATCTCATTACGACAAAGACTCTCTAACGATAAAGACTCTCTCAAAGACTAGATGGAGTGCATGTGCCGATGCTAGTAAGGCTATGTACAAATGCTATAAACCAATTACTACAGCTTTAATAGAAATTGGTACAAGTACGAAAAATAGTAAAGAAGATCAACTCGAGGCAAAACAACTATCTGAAAAACTTAGGTCCTTAGAAATGACACTAATGATTAGCTTTTGGAATGAAATCCTCACAAAGTTTCAAGATGTCAGTAAAATACTTCAAGGTGAAAATGTAGACTTAGATCAGACGGTAAATCTGTACGAAATGCTTGAATCGTGTTTAATGTCACTAAGGAATGAAGAACAATTTTTAACCTTTGAAAGTAAAGCAAAGTCAATGTGTGGTTCTCAGCATTATAAAAAAGACATTTAAAGAAAAAAGAAATTGAAGTTACCTTATGGTGAAAGTGAAAAAGGGCACACCGAGTTTACCGGACGTAAGTCATTTATAATAGATAGTTATTATAACGCGATTGATACGCTTAAAAGTTACCTAGCGAGAAGAAAAAATGTTTATTTGCAGCTGAGGAATTCTTTCGAATTTTTATGGAACATGAATGAAGTGGAAAAATTTGACTTGAAAGAAAAAGCAAACAACTTGCTAAACATGTACCCTTCAGACTTGGACTTAACATTTCCCGAAAAATGTTTGTATCTTCAAACATTTTTACAAGAAAATGAAACATATTTTGAAGAAATAAAAGTTCTAGGTGGAAAAAAGAAAATGGGATCTAAAGCCTCCAGACTTTTGAGCCATTTAAAATCCTTGAAGATAGAGTCACTATTTCCAAATGTTGAAGTGGCTCTAAGAATATATTTGAGTATGGCCGTCACAAATTGTAGCGGAGAAAGATCTTTTTCTGCTCTAGGGCGGGTGAAAAACTTTTTAAGATCTACTTTACGCCAGGATAAAATGAAAGCCCTTGCACTTTTGTTTATTGAAAGTGAATTCATGAACAATATTTCTTTCGATGAAATAGTAGTCTTTCGCAGCGTTAAAATCAAGAAAAAAACTTTTTAAAATGAATAATATTTAGTTCAATCATAAATTAAAAATTTTTAAATGCTTTTGTATATAATTTTATTAAATATAAAACACGTTTTATTTTAAACAAAAAAGTCTGTTGTTTTTACGTTTTCTTAATCCTCGTTTTACCCTCCAACCACTCCGATCATTCATAGGGGCGCCTAACCAACTCTAGCCTACTAGTGACCAACTCCTTAATCAGGCCCTGGTCATCGCGTGCGGTGAACATTCTTATACCGGACGCGTCGTTGACGAGTCATCGTTATGATTTAGCAGACAGAAGGGTGGACAAGATTGAAGTTCGACGTGCACACGGGCATTCAAGTAGAATACATGAACAATATCCAGTAGTATTTCGTTTTGTCGCAAGAAACTTCCTCCGTACATTATATATTTGTTGACATGAACGTTTCGTACGACCGAAAAATTTAATGATAATAAATGTATATTTGTTCATGTACTATCAGGTTCAATATTTACAATAATTTGGTACAAGTGTACACGACTTATACGTGTACCATTCCGTCCACCCGTTGACCACTTACACATTATTGTACAAGTACGTTAACAAACGTTTCGTGTACTTTGGTCGCATTAACTTTCGATACGATATAATATGCGCTTGATGTACTATTGGCAGTGGCGGCGTGACAGATTTTTGAGTCTCTGGATTCAAGTCAGTAGGTGGGTAGGTAGGTGGGTATTGACCATTGAGTATTGAGTGGGTATGTAGCATGTAGTACGAATAGTGGGGGAGCTCTTTTTGCAAGCTACCCTTAAATTTCTTTTTAGGCGGGTGGGTGGGTGTACAAAATCCTAATAGGACTCATGAAGTAAAATATTTCGTACCGCCACTGACTATTGGTGACTATAATATATATATATATATATCATATCATATTTGATATCATCGTGCAGTATACGAACGGAACACGTTGTTCCTATTATATTTGCCAGTTGTTCGATAAATCTTTGAACGAAGAAGAACAAATAACATAAAAACCAACCATCGGATATAAATAGTTATACCATGGGTAATTTATCGATTTTATTGATCGAAAAATTCCGAATTGTACGAATAAAAATATAAACATAAACTTCATCGTCGAAGTAATGATTTTACGAATTCAAATTTTCTAATCGTTTACCTAAAAATCATCTAAAACTAACTCCGTTTTCTAATCGCGTACTTTTAGAAAATTTAAAAGGAAAATGATTTTTTATCCAATAATTTCAATTCAATATCCAAAAAAGTTTTTTGTTTACTATACGAGTAAAACGTTTGTACGTGCGCCAAAGTATAGTGCACATATAGTCATGAGGTATATGGGTGTTGCGTGTATTTATTTATTTTTTTTTTTGTTTAAAAAAAAAAACCAAACATTCATTATAAGATATAAAGTAAGTACGTTACTTTACGTAACAAAGCGAAGTTCGGGTACGGTTTGCTTCGACGTTAGTGATAACGTGATCAGCGCACGATCAGTGCCCGCGGTGGTTGTAGGTACCGCGCTTGGCTTGACTCGGCCGTCGACCGCACTGATGCGCCTGCGACGAGACCCGCTGAAACGTCCTGGCCGTCGTCAATGTCGGCTCGACACGAGTAGAGTCAACAGTGTAGTAGTTTTTAACATTATACTACACGGTTTCCGACAGTGGCGGATTAATGGGGGGCAGAGAAGACCCCCTCATTGGCCTAGGACCTCGGTTAATTTTGTAACGGTTACAACGTGAAAATTATAAACAACACGATTCAATAAAACTATTTTGGGAACGATTTTGTAAAGTTTTTTTTTTACATCATCTCATCGGTAATGTAATATAAGTAATGAACCGATCTAGTGACATCAACCGTGTTAAATACATTTTATCTGCAACGTAGAGTTTCGACTTAAAGTCATGCACTCTGTCGATAGTATGTGTGTTTCTTTTTAAAAAATGTAGTTATATTTTATAATCTGTTGAAAACGTTTCCTTTCCTCCCCTCACGCCCCACAAAACAAAATCCTAGATCTGCCACTGCGATTCGATGGACAGCGCGTTTCGCACACGAATCAGTTGTTTTCTGATTTCCATGTCTGCGGAACGTTTACTTTTATTATGCATCCGCGAATAAACATGTGAATTGTATGGGTGGCCTCGGTAGAACATTTCTATTTTAAACAACTTTTGTTTTTGTTTTTAATATTTCACAATAATAATAATAATAATAAAAAATTATCCGGATAAGTTTGATAAAAATGTAGAATAACAGATGAAATATTTGTCACACGAACCATACTAAATTATTGTTGGTCTAAAATATAACCGTGGTTTATTTATGGACATTTTAAAATACGTTTTTATTTAAAAAAATAAAAAATACAATCAAATACATTATTTTCAAGAGTCGCCGCGAGTATCACGCGAGTCCCATGTAGAAACCCAATATTTTAAAATAGTTTTCATCCCAGTGCAGTAAAGAAGACGTTTTTCAGTGTTACAAAAACGGTTCAAAAAATTGATTTGACCAGCGAAGTAATACTAACCGATTCTACCGTCTGCTACAGCGATACAAATTGCAATTCGAATCATTTGTCATACTTGGTTAACGTCGATGCGAAGTATTGTTTTGGCCACTTGTCATGTACGTTCGACCCGGACTGGATCTAGTGGTAATGGCGGGGAGGTAGGGGGGCTATAGCCACGGGCCGCGAGTTGAAAAGGGCCACAATGAGTTTTATAATCGTCGGCTGACAAGTATAAAGTACTGCTCTATCAATTCTAACTGTGACTATAACATACAAATATACTATTACACTTATTTTGATCAATGTTTATTACAAATTACTAAATCTTAGTAGGAAAAATTAAATCGTTTTGGGTGAAAGGGCATCAGCAAAAACAATAGCTCCTCTTACACGACGGCTATGAATCCGATCCTGCGTTCGAAATCACAAGCAATAGTGATAAAAAAAAAAAATCTACCTACACATCGTCCATTCGATTTACATGTTAAATTGTTATGTAGTCCGGATCACAAGTCGTTTTCAGATACACGATATCGGATCTGTCTCGATCGGAATGAATAATAAATATTTGTACTGTACTAGGTACGCGTTACATGAAACCGTTGTGCAACACGTTTTACCTATCAGCACAAGTATATTATTATTATTATTCTTATGTACCGGAACGAGTTAATTCAATCACAACGGATCTGATTAATAATCACGTTTAACGTGGTGTACTAGTATAATGCACAAATCGGTGTTAAGATCGGAGCAACCAGCGAAGGAAATGTCCGCGTGTCGACAATTCGGACCGTGGTAGTGTTTGAACAATATTACGGTTATACCAATTCCAGACAGCCTTGAGCCTCGTCGTGAGAGCACAGCGCTTGGCGGCGGCGACGGCTGCTCTCTGCGCGAACGCTACGATACCGAAATGACGAAAATTCATGGTAATTAAAACGAAAACACAATGCTTGTTCTCTGCGACAACAATGCGTCACTTGATTTTTTTTTCTCTCACAGTAAAAATCAAGAAATTAAAAGAATCTTCCATGAAGGTTAAACGTGCCCGGTTGGGTTTGTAAATCAAACAGAACCGCGCGCGAATCACTTCCGTAAAGATTCAGAAAAAAAAAGGAAAACGGAAAAAAATAAATATTTGATAAATCGCGTCGAAATCCGTATTGTTTATTCGTTTATGTCGGTTGAATTCACGGAGTCTTCGATTTAAATCGTATAGTCACATGCGTGCACGCGGGTACCCTCCGAAATGTTGTACATGTTGCATATGCAGTGCTGTAAATTATTTGAGTAAAAGTATTTGAATAAAAGTTTTCAAGTACTTTTTTAAGTATCGAATAATTTTTTAAATACTTTT